AAGTAAAAGAATAGTTTTTCCTTTTACCCATAAAATCAGTTAGAAACGCCAACTTTTGTACCCAAAGTGGATCTTCCAGCTGTCTATGTTTTTCTCCCAACGAATTTAAAAATTCTACTATTTCGGGCAATAGCTCTAAAAATCGTTCCAAAAAACATCCTCGACTAAGCCATCTAACGTTGGAAAAAAGCACTAAATCTTCATATTCCGAATCATTCTCCTCTAACTGATTACGGAACAATCGGCTTCTTAAACTGCGTGCTCTTATAGAATTAGCAATTTTTACTGCAACATCCATAACATCGTTAACATCCAATAATAAATTAAAAAACTTATAGTATTTGAAAAACTTTTGTGATCTCCTGCCGATCTCTTCGCGATCGACTGTTTGCCCACCTCTGATATAAAAGGTTGTCTAGGTTCGTACGCAACCATATTGCGCATTACGTCACATGTGGAAAATAATACCGCTAAGCAATTCAAATTAAACAAATGCATGGAGCACTACATGGCCATGAGGTTGCGTGCGCAATCCGTGATCGCTTACGTCACGAAACACTCCTGCTCTTGCCCCTCGCCCACAAACTAAAATCAAAGTATTGCAGCATAGGAACTTAGACAACCTTTAATATATAAACCTTGGGTANGTCCTAAATTATTGCCCGAACATCGTGCTGCTAGAAGAAATTTTGTTCAAAATTATGGAGAATGGAATATTCCTGAATGGTCGAATGTCTTGTTTACGGACGAGTCAAGGTTTTGCCTTAACATGGTGGATGGAAGAAAAAGAGTGTGAAGAAGGACTGGTGAAAGGTTTAATCAGAATTTAATAACAGAACGCGAAAGTTTTAATGGTGGGTTGGTTATGGTGTGGGGAGGGATGTCAATGAATGGAAAGACACCCCTTCATGTTTTTCCGGTGAGGCGGTCGATGACGGCCCAAATTTACATTGACATTATACAACAGTATATCTTACCTCATGCAGAGTTAGTGGGCAATAATTTTATATTGATGCAGGATAATGCCCGACCACACACCACATTATCACCACATTACAGTGGCCTGCGAGACGCCCCGATATGAACCTATCGAACATTTGTGGGATGAATTATGGAGAAGGGTACATTCTCGCGAGAGGCCTCAGGAATGCCTCTCAGAAATAGCAGATGCGTTAGTGGAAGAATGCGATCGTATACAAATGGAAACGATAAGAAACCTGATTTCCAGTATGCCGCTTAGATTAGAAACTCTTAGAGTTGCTAGGGGAGGCAATACACGGTATTAAGCAGTTATCCCAGTTTATAATTTAGTGTTTAATAAAACTTTTTTAAAAATTCGTATCAGTTTATTTCACTAGAAAACTGTTTTTCCATAAATTCAGAAAGTTGGCAATATGCAAGGTTTCAACAAAAAAGCTTCAATTCGGACAATTTTAGAGATAAATTAATGAATAAAAAAACAAAATGCTCATAAAAGAAACGTCTTTCATATAGGGTGTAAGCACTTTTTATACCATTACTTGATTAATACACAGGGTGAGTCAAAAATTAGGAAAAAAACATGGTTCCAGTTTTTCCACTACCAAAACCCGAATGATTCTAGTTCTAGGTCTTGTGTTAGTTCTAGTGATAGTGCTAGTNCCAAGGTTTATATATTAAAGGTTGTCTAAGTTCCTATGCTGCAATACTTTGATTTTAGTTTGTGGGCGAGGGGCAAGAGCAGGAGTGTTTCGTGACGTAAGCGATCACGGATTGCGCACGCAACCTCATGGCCATGTGGTGCTCCATGCCTTTGTTTAATTTGAATTGCTTGGCGGTATTATTTTCCACATTATTTTCCACACGATTGCGTACGAACCTAGACAACCTCTTATATATAAACCTTGCCTTGATGCGGCATTCAATGTTACGTCCAGTTTGGCCAACGTAATACTTCCCGGAACTGCACGATAGCCTCCATTTAATGGGGTTAGTTTGTCTTTGGCTGTCGGAAGAGCGTTTTGTATTTTGCTGACTTCAGCCACCTCGCTATCGCTCCGTCACACATGAAACATAAGGAAGGCAGATAAAACCGGCTGGTGTACTTACAGAGTCATAATTCTTTTTGCGTGGTTTGGTGGCTCATTAGATATCTCTCATAGTATAGCCGTCCTTCTGCAGTACATCCTCTAGGAATCTTTCTTCTTACCTCAGGTTCTGTTTATCACATATCATCTCTGCTCGCTGGAATAGCGGTAAGTTCACACAGCGCCTAGTATTACAGGATCGTTCTTTCTCCGATCCATCACTACTGGATATGATGTTCATACACAACACAACGGTCCCGTATTTATAGGATCAGACTATTATTTATATTCACATACTATTGGAAGGTGGATCATTAAGGTGAATTTACACATATCAGTATCGTATCAGTTCCGTATCAGTTCAGTATCAGACATTCGTGACTTCTTAGTGACGTATATTTACACATGCTTGTGAATATAATATACATATATACGTTCCGTCTTAATATTTTTTGAGATGTGGACACAACGCTTTTGGTACCACATATAGGAAAAGGCCATAAATAATACGTTGACAACTGGTACACTAGTCCAATATTATTTGACACACTCCACTAAAATAACAAAAGGCGAAACTGAGAGCTTCTGTGCGGAAACTATATTGATCGTCAAATGCAAAGACAAGCGGGAAGTACTAGTGCGAACCAAAAACAGAAAATCTTTTTGTATTGTTATAACTAAAACATGGGGTTGATTGACATATCAGACATGATGCTGAGCAAACTAAAGAGCATGAGAAAAAATGTTAATGTTCATGTGTTATATCTTACCAAAACTGGAAAGAAACCTTCGTTGGTTGATTTCCTTCATGTGCCCTTCATCAAATAAAATGGTAGTCGTCCGTTAACGTCAACAAATAATCCGAAGCGCTTGACCGCTCGTCATTTTCCAACAATGGTGCCGGCTACAGAAAAAAAGAAACATGCTTGCCGTGTTTGTGTAGTATGTTTGCAAACGACAACAAAAGCAAGGCGTCGAAAGGAGCCTCGGTACATGTGCGAAGACTGTAACGTCGGAATATGTGTAGTGCCTTGCTTCCAGGAATATCACAAAATGTTAAATTTTTAGGTTTGAGGTTTTAACATAGTTTAATATAATCTTAATAAAAAGCATTAATGGTTGGATTTCATTTTTCTTTATACAAAAACTCGGCCCAATCTGTGTGTTTATAGAATTAATACTAACGCTTCCGCTACAAACATCTCCATGAAAAAAAATTGGCGATCACAGGTGACAGAGGTGATTCTCCTTTCCAGCTAAAAGATGTCGACGATAAGCAGTACTCCAGTAGTCCTGGGACATACTTTGGCAAACCATCCGGGATGAGTTGCTGGCGAAGACCATTTACGGCATCTTTGACTGCTACTCTGGTGAATAGAGCCACTAGATTTTACGTCGAAATTTACCAAGATAATCCTGTGGGTCTAACTTAATACTCCTGATTGATTCTACAAAATGTGTGGAATCTGTCATATGACTCTGTTTTACCTGTAAAAGGAGACAGAATCTTGGCAAGGTGCTTTGCTAGTTGATAGGAGGGACAATTTATAGCACTGGACAATAGGACTTCTGGTTTATGGACTTTAGGTAATCCAATTGGCGATCACAGGTGACAGAGGTGATTCTCCTTTCCAGCTAAAAGATGTCGANTGACGTATATTTACACATGCTTGTGAATATAATATACAGTAGAGCCCCGATTATCCGCGGAATTGGGTGGCAAGGGCGCCGCGGATAATAAAAATCGCGGATAAGACTAGTAATAAACAAAAAATAATATGTACATATGTATTGTATCACTGTACTGTAAACAAAAACTATCAGTTACATCTTTTTAAAAAAATCGGTCACTAGCTTTTGCTTCTTGCTTTGGAAGCACCTTTTCTTTATTCTGGATTGCACGTTCCTTAGCATAAGTTTTTCTGCCAGATGTGCGTCGTCTTGCTCCTCTAAATATTGAAGCAATCCGTCTACATGCTGCAAAGCAGTTTCATGTGTCATCCGCACAAGCACCTCGCCTTCTTCACTTTCAATTTCTTCGTTCACTCTCATTGCTTTGTTTGTTATTTCTACGTCAGAGAGTCGTTCAAACCCTGGCTCATTTTTGTCACATTCCAGCCACTCTTCTATGTTTTCTTGATTTACATTCTCACCTCCCGGTACGGATGTCACTAAGTCAATAAGTGCAGCGATAGGCATATCTTCATTATGTTCTTCACCAATGTTTTGGTTGACATTTACTTCAATATTTGGAAAGAGTTTTCTCCACGATTTGACGAGAGTTGACGGTTTAATGCAATCCCATGCAAATGCTATCGTAAATGCTATCCAAAATTGTATAGATCTTCCAAAGCTGCTTAAAATCGTAACCTTCTTCAATTTTTGTGTTTACCAACTTTTTTCTGTATATCCTCTTCACAGTTGCAATGACCCCCTGGTCCATAGGCTGTATGAGCGCAGTAACATTTGGGGGCAAAAACTTTGCAAAAATTTGTTCATCAGAAGATTTAAGCACACTTGCGGCAGGGTGTGAAGGCGCGTTGTCAATTAATAAAACGGCCTTTCTTGGTAAATTCTTTGAATCAAGGTGTTTACGTACTTGAGGCACAAAAATATGTATTTCAGAATTTCATTTAGCCACCGCTTGGGACATGCTACTGTACACAAAATAGTCATGAATACATGTAGGATCATAATTGACAACCTAATATCTGAAGTGCTACAAAATCCTACAGAAGAGATGTGTAAATCCAATTCTGACAACTTTTATATGCTTTGGAACTTTCCTTACTGTTTAGGAGCGTTAGATGAGAAACATATTACTATACAGGCTTCCCATAATAGCGGTTCGTTATTCTTTAATTATGAAAAAACGTTTTCTGTTGTTTTGTTGACACTTGTTGATGCAAACTACAATTTTATAGCGGTTGCTGTTGGTGCATACGGGAAAAACAGCGATGGGGGAATTTTTGCAAATTCCAATCTAGGAAAAGCAACTCAACAAAACAGTTTGTTACTTCCACAAAATGCTGCTTTGCAAATACAGCTACTGATGCTCCATGTGTGTAAATAGACCTTTTTATTTTTTACTTTTTAACAAAATTTTTTAATTAATTTCGGATGTCGATGTCTACTTTTGATGATCTTCTTATAAGATTGGAAAAGGATATAAGGAAAAAAGATAGAAATTGGAGCAAAAGTATCAGTCCTGAAGAAAAACTGGCTATATGTTTAAGATAACAAAACGTTTATTCTAATTATTCAGCCCAAGTCAACTCTGAATCCTGGCTTTGCAGAGATATCAATGTTGGCGACTGTACGGAAGCTGACCAAGTATACACCGGTTGGTTAGTGCTCCTCTTAGTATTTTATAAAATGCTTAATACACTTGATTGAAACTCTAACGTTTCGTAGTCATTAAGCTATACTAAAGACAGGAGAGACTTTTGAAGAAGGAGAGGTTTCGATCCTCCTGCACAATTTCTTTTTGCCTTAACTGCTGCTCAGTGTAGGAAATCATTTTTTGATCATTTACTTTTTGACACATTTCTTTTTCCTGGTGGCTTTGCTAAATTATGCGTTTTTTTTCTGGTTTTTTGACTTCTTCTGTTGTGTCGTCTCCTTCATTTGTTTTATTATTTAGTACCATTATTATTACGTCGCCTTCTTCATTTGTCTCATAAGTGGTGACGTTTTCCTGCGTTTCACCTGCATCAACAACTTTTTTCAAATACAATGTGCCATTACATTGTACCCTGTGTATTAATCAAGTAATGGTATAGAAAGTGCTTACACCCTATATGAAAGACGTTTCTTTTATGAGCATTTTGTTTTTTTATTCATTAATTTATCTCTAAAATTGTCCGAATTGAAGCTTTTTTGTTGAAACCTTACGTTTATCCCACAGATTTAAGAAGTATGATCACATTGTCAAACAATTGACGTTGCCATAGCAATTAATTTGTCGTTGTNGATTGATTCTACAAAATGTGTGGAATCTGTCATATGACTCTGTTTTACCTGTAAAAGGAGACAGAATCTTGGCAAGGTGCTTTGCTAGTTGATAGATGGGACAATTTATAGCACTGGACAATAGGACATCTGGTTTCTGGACTTTAGGTAATCCATTCTTGGGGGTACTGGGGCCTGTACGGATAAGCTTTTTTGTTGTTCTGCTGGGATTTCTGTGGATTTTACCAGTTCTTTCATATTCCTTACTATTTTTTCAGTTTCGTTCTTTATTATTTTCTTATATTCATTTCTGTCCATAACCACGATCGCATTTCTCCATTTTTTCTTAACCCGAAAGTTTCTAGGTCTAGTATTAGTTTTATTTTTAGTTTAATTAACACCGGCTGTATAATCGTTCATACTTATATTATCAAATTTTAGGAATTTTAAAATTTTTTGGCCACATCGCCCATCAAAACCCGGATATTCTCATCGAAACTTACCCCTTCGTTCTAAATCACCTCTTCATGAATTTAAATTCAAACGATAACACCACTTTAGGAGTAACGCTTAACACGTTAAGTTACATTGTTGACACGGATGAGTCAAAATTAAAAGTCGATAGGATTGGTGTAAATTTATATAAATCGATCACAAAAATAGTGGAAGGATTAGGCGTTTTTCCGAACGATATAAAAGTGAAAGCTTTACATTGTTTAGCAAATTTTTTAAATGTAAATGGAAGTGATCGAAATGTAACGGAAACGACTCGGAAATGGTACGGATTTATGACTGAAAATCCGATGGATTGGATAATGAGATATGCTAAAAATCCTTTTAATGAGTTAAAAATGGGGGGATTAGTTGTTTTGGGGTCTTTATCGAAACAATATTGGGGCCACGAAGTGATGAGAAATACACCAGGGTTGATCGAATTTTTGATGGATCGAAATATCGAGACGATTAAGGAGTGTAAAGTTTTAAAATTCGAGATTGTGAAGAGATTAGCTGAGAGTCCTTCGTTTAATCATGAGATGCAAAGATCTATGAAGGTTTTTGTTAATGAGGGGCCTTTTTATGTACAGGGTGTTACTGAAATCGCTTTAGAAGGAGATGATTGAAAAGGTTTTTTGGTAATTTTAATATGTAAAGAAAATAAATATGCTTTGTAATGATAAAAGTTGTTTTTTATCTAATTATTTACTAAATTTTAAATTTTCTGCTTTTAAATAGTTAATCAACGGTTCGAAATAATCGTAAATCGCTGAAGTATTCATTGTTGATTGACCGGACATCATTTGTAAAGTTTTACTCCAATGAATACTACTTCCTACTTGTAAACCCATCCTAAAAACACAAAATTCAAGCAATCTCAAATGAACATGTAAGATTTAATAAATACTTCATCTTTTCTCCGGCAATTTTAGATCCATAAAAATCGCATTCAAACAAAGATTTCTTCTTTTTATTTGGATCGAATTCGCCAGCTGCTATACACAGTCCTTTATATATTTGAAACTTTATTACATTTGCTATAAAATATCTACAAAAGAAATGAGACATTTTTGATTAATATGCTAATGCCGGAATTTCATATAACTCGCAATATATGAATGGAATAACCGTAGTTACGAAACTACTATGCACTTGCACTGCACTGTCCCACATAAAATGCTAGATAGCTTAATAGTACAAGCATTGGGTAGTTTTGCAAAGGAAAAGATTTGCTTGGAAGAAGGTGACGTTCTTATGATAACTCTGAGGCGTGATGGCTCAGCGTGTTAGCTCTCGGGTTAACACGCAGACGTCCCGGGTTCGAACCCCGGTGAATTCACGTTGAGTCGCCCCCCGTCCTTCGGAGGGGACGTTAAGCCGTCGGTCCCGGCAACCAGTCTAACATCTCTGGTTGTCGTTAGCACGCATGTGTGTGAGGCTCGACTTATAGGGACGAATGCGCGTGAGCGCCCTCTGACCCCTCGGGGTCGGGGCGGCGGTAACTCGTCATTGGAAACGAGTAAGCGGTATCGTCACCTAACGAGATCTTCTCTACCATCTCGAGCCTCCAAGGGAGTATGCACAAGGGGCCCACTGGGGCCTAAGTGCGCGTAAAAATTACGCACCCCTCTCTCTACATACATACATACATGATAACTCTGACTTTTCGGACGTCTTGAGAGACGTGCGGCTAAACCCGAATCTTAGTACTAGCACTCTAGTTTTGTACTAGCACTATCACTGGAACTAACACAAGATCTAGAACTAGAAAGATTCGGGTTTAGTCGCACGTCTCTCAATACGGCTAAACTCGAATGATTCTAGTTCTAGGTCTTGTGTTAGTTCTAGTGCTAGTGCAATACTAGAACTAATACAAGACCTAGAACTAGAAACATTCGGATTTAGCCGCACGTCTTTCAAGATGGCTAAACCCGAATAATTCTAGTTGTAGGTCTTGTGTTAGTTCTAGTATTGCATTAGCACTATCACTAGCACTAGAACTGACACAAGACCTACAACTAGAATTATTCTGGTTTAGCCATCTTGAAAGACGTGCGGCTAAATCCGAATGTTTCTAGTTCTAGGTCTTGTATTAGTTCTAGTATTGCACTAGCACTAGAACTAACACAAGAACTAGAAACATTCGGATTTAGCCGCACGTCTCTCAAGACGGCTAAACCTTTAGTTCAATAAAAATAATAAACAGTGATATCTTATGCTAACTAGCGCTACCTATCAGTCACTAGAACTAGAAACTATACAATAAGAACAAGGCACTGCTGAAATTCCTGAAAAAGCATGACGTCAACATTATGGGAGATTTTAATGCCAAAATTTTAAAAGGGATGCTTGAAAATGATTTGAAATGGGATTGCTTGCAATTTCGATATAATTTTTTTTTCGAAAATTATAAGCAATCGTGAAAATTTTTTCAAGTAAAAGTTATGTGAAATTATGCTGTCTACCCAACTGAAGAAAAAAAGTTTATAGATTTAAAGAAATAGCAAAATTAGTACTCACATCCGGTATAATCGGAAGTACAAAGAGACTGATTTCATGTCGTAATAATCCGTTCTAATGGCCTAATTATGCATTCCATATGGTTTTCTTATACGGATACAGAGTTAGTGATGGTGGCTATAGTTTTGGATGATGAAGAGCAGGAACTGTACCAGGCGAAGAAGCGATAGTGGGAGAATATAAGGGAAGATTTGCAACTTTGTATAAAGGATTAGTGGATCATGATTCTTGTTGTAGGTCTTGTGTTAGTTCTAGTATTGCATTAGCACTAGCACTAGAACTAGAAACATTCGGATTTAGCCGCACGTCTCTCAAGATGGCTAAACCTTTAGTTCAATAAAAATAATAAACAGTGATATCTTATGCTAACTAGCGCTACCTATCAGTCACTAGAACTACCTAGAACTAGAAACTATACAATGAGAGCAAGGTACTGCTGAAATTCCTGAAAAAGCATGACGTCAACATTATGGGAGATTTTAATGCCAAAATTGGAAAAGGGATGCTTGAAAATGATTTGAAAAGGGATTGCTTGCAATTTTGTATTGTTAGCTGTAGTTCTAAAAGTGTTTTTGGAAAAAGCATAAAAAACATTTCACAAAATCAAAGACACTGCGATAAGGAACGAAATCAGCAAGGACTGCAATATCTCATGCTGTAGTAAACATAACAAAATACAAAGTTGGATGACAGATGAGATACTAGAGCTAATTAACGAACAAAGATCTTATAAAAACAAGGATGACACCCGATACAGGATATACAAACAACAATCAGATCGAAAACCAGTGCAGAAGATAAAAGATAAAAAAGATAAAAGAAACATCTGGTGTTTACGGAACGATGAAAAGGACCAAATTAGTCGGCGAAGATGGACGGATAGTTTCTGACATTCAAGAAAAAGCAGATCTGAAAACAATAAAAGGAACGAATGCATAACTGGTCTAGCTATATCTAGGGAGAAAATAAAAAAAAGGCATTCAATACTCGAAAAATCATGAATTACCTGTCCCGGATGCAATTGCATTGCATTTTATGCTATTTTATGTCAAATATTTAACACAATTTATGATACTAGTTGCTACCCTCAACAATGGCTATAATCTATCTTTATCCCATTACCACCTAGAACTTGTGAAGAATCACTTATCAACCTTATGAACCATAGCCTAACAATCTTCCTTAAAATAATTCAACAACGTATGTATAAAAATGTGAAAGTGACATGGCTGATTGCCGATTTGGCTTCAAACTGAGAATCTTCTTTTAATTTCTACTCATGAGCAGTATTTCGAGCAGCATTTGATGATGCTCAGATTTGTATTAAAGTTAACGGGGTTTGGATCAACAACATCACATACACCGATGACACATGTTGATTGCTGACAACTTGGACAATGAAACTAAAAGTCGCATAGAACAAGCTAAGCAGGCATTTCAAAAATTCAGAAGCGTGTTCAGCTGCTTAGACTTTGATCTAAACTTGAGATTGAGGTTCGTAAAATGTTAGGTATGGTGGTGCTTTTGTATGGAGTGGATTGCATGGAGTTCTACTGATAGTGCTAGTGCAAAACTAGAACTAACACTAGAACTAGAAACATTCGGGTTTAGCCACCCGTCTCTCAATACAGCTAAACCCGATTCTAGAGGAATTTAGATGTAAAGATGAAATTTGTCATCAGGCACGACGTCAGATGGGTTTACAGGTGACAACATTTAAGGTTATAATTTTCACCTGATCAAGTTTTACATCGTATTCGTCTTAATTTTTAATGTGTGCCCAATTAACTTGTGATTTGATATCTGATTATTCGAAGAAAAAATCTTTCCGTTGATTTATAGTGGCGTAATATTTAGTTGGATCGTTTATATACGAGATAATTTTGTTTAAACATTAATGTTTGTAATAAGTTCAATATTCTACAACCTTCACCTGTAAACCCATCTGACATCGTGCCTGATGACGACTCTGCTGTGAGTCGAAACATATGTAGCACTGATCCTGAACATTTAATAAAATTTCCTCTTTACATACATGGTGCCCATTATGTATGGAATATAGTATATATCTCGGTAAATGTTGACTTTATAAGAATACATTTTATACAAAAGTTGCTTAATATTTTATTTGCCATAATAAGACTGCATTCAATTGTTTTTAAGTCAGAAAACAAATGAGTAACGACTAACACTTGAATTTTTTTAAATGGCAATGTACCCGTTCGTTAGGTTCATTTGATAGAGATTACTTTTCTCTTTACGATGACGTAAAATTTTTGTACCCTTACATCAGAAAATTTTTGAAAAAGATGTAAAAATTGTTTATTAATAAAAATTAATCAATAACATTAATCTAGATATCCGAGATCGCCAAATACCTCGAATTATTACAGTAAATTAAATTTACATACAAAATAAAACAAATAAACGACAAATTAGTGTAGATCTCTAATAATTCGAGTTACTTCGAGGTATTTGACGATCTTGGATATCTGGATTAATGTCATTAGTTAAATTTTCTTAATAAACAATTTTTACATTTTTTCAAAAATTTTCTGATATAAGGCTACTAAAATTTTACGTCATCGTAAAGACAAAAAAAATCTCTATCAAATGAGCCTGACGAAAAGGTACATTGCCATTTAAAAAACTTCAAATGTTATTCGTTACTCATTTGTTTTCTGAAATAAAAACAATTGAATGCTGTCTTATTATGGCAAATCAAATATTAAACAACTTTTGTATAAAATGTTTTTTTATAAAGTTGATACCTACCAAGATATATACTATATTCCATACATAATGGGCACCCTGTATAAATTCCTCTATTAATCCATCAAAGATGAACATGGAGAATCTAATAGCTATACCGAATGATTCTAGTTCTAGGTCTACTGTTACTTCTAGTTTTACACTATCACTAGAACTAACACAAGACCTAGAACTAGAATTATTCGGGTTTAGCCGTCTTGTGAGGCGTGCGGCTAAATCCGAATGTTTCTAGTTTTCGGCCTAGTGTTAGTTCTAGTATTGCACTAACACTATTACTAGAACTAAAACAAGACCTACAACTAGAATCATCCGGATTTAGCCGTCTTGAGAGACGTACGGCAAAACTCGAATGTTTCTAGTTGTAGATGTTATTGTAGTTCTAGTGGTAGTGCTAGTGTAAAACCAGAACTAACACTAGACCTAGAACTAGAATCATTCGGGTTTAGCCGCACGTCTCACAAGACGGCTAAACCCGAATAATTCTAGTTCTAGGTCTTGTGTTAGTTCTAGTGATAGTGTAAAAGTCAAGTCTAGTGTTAGTTCTATTGACAGTGCTAGTGCAAAACTAAAACTAACACTAGACCTAGAACTAGAATCATTCGGGTTAGCCGTCTTGAGAGACGTGCGGCTAAACCCGAATGATTCTAGTTCTAGGTCTAGTGTTAGTTCTAGTGAGAGTGGTAATGCAAAACTAGAACTAGCACTGGACTTAAAACTAGAATCATTGGGGTTTAGCCGTCTTGAGAGACGTGCGGCTAAACCCGAATGTTTCTAGTTCTAGATTTTATGCTAGCTCCAGTGATAGTACTAGTGTAAAACTACATCTAACACTAGACATTCGGGTTTAGCCGCACGTCTCTCAAGACGGCTAAACCCGAATGATTCTAGTTCTACGTCTAGTGTTAGTTCTAGTGATAGTGCTAGTGTAAAACGAGAACTAACACTAGACCTAGAGCTAGAAACATTCGGGTTTAGCCGCACGTCTCTCAAGACGGCTAAACCCGAATGATTCTAGTTCTAGGTCTAGTGTTAGTTTTAGTTTTTGTTCAATAAAAATATGGAACATAGTGATATCTCGTTTCTATGAAAATATATTTTTGTATATTGCATTTTAAGTGAAATTCATTGTATACACTTACGGCATATACTCTGTATCTCCAATAATATGAAATTTAGAACCTGGATCAAAATCTAATGGTCCTCTTGGAATTGGAGGTTTAACTTTTTGTACATTTTTACTAAAACAAAAATTGAAATAAAACTCAAAATTTATCTGTTTGAAAAATTTACCGATAAAACCACCATAAATTATTGATTTCATCCAATTTAGTTTTTCCCTTAAAAACATCCCACCGCCATCTATCCACCAAATAAGTAAATGGAAAATTTGGGATATCCTCCAAAGCTTGTTCCATTAAATAATTAATATTACTCTCATAACTTGACTTATAATTTGAATCGATTAATCCGATTTTTTTTAAATGATCCGGATTCATAACCGATAGTACAATTGAATCGCCAATAGCTTCATGAAACCCGGCATTTGCAGAGTTTCTAAAACTATAGAGTTGTTTACTATATTGGATATAATATTGAATGTGGCCTAATTCGTGGTGGATAACCCGAAAATTTTCTTTATTAATTTCCGTGCACATACTAATACGATAATCGGGTGGATCGCACATATCCCACGCCGAGGCATGACACACAACTTCTCTATTTTCGATCTTGTCCAACATTGCTTTCGGCCCATACGCCATACTCATATCATCTAACCCCATTGAAGTATAAAACTCATTCGCGGTTTCAAAAAGCTTTAAAATCGTAAAATTTTTTGATTTTAAAATTTTTGTTACATCGATTTCTTCAGCATTAGGAAACGGTTTAACAATTTTATTTAAATATTCCCAACTTTGCGCGTAATTATTTCCCGTTATATGCGCGGGAAGTAATCCGTCTTTAACGTTAATTTTTTTCCCGTAAAACGCAGAAAGTTTTCTTAAAACGTAAGTGTGTAATTGTAAGTAAAGCGGTTCTAAACTCAACCATAATTCTTCCATGACTTTCTCCATATTGGGAATTTCGTAATCGTACCTCCAAAAATCACCTTCATCTTTGAACCCATTTAAAACTGCAGCTTGATTTTTTAATTTAACGTAATCGTTAAATGATTTTTTTACTTTCCTTCCGGTTGCAATTCTCCATGCTTGCCATAAATACCCTAATTCTTCGAGATTCGTTGAATTGGCCATAATAAAATCGAGATCATCTTGGGATAATCCTTCAGTTTTTAAGTTACATTTTTGTTTGGTGAATGGGCAAACTTTGGCTTTTCCGTATATTGCGGTCATTGAGTTTATGATTTGAACGAGTTGTTTGAATTTACTTTTGGGTAATGCTACATCTCCTACTTTTGTTAAAAATTTTAATTGGCGTTTTAAAATTTCGGAGTTAAATGAGTTCGGATTTAAACCTTCAAAGTATTTTTTGTAGAAATATTCGGTTGATAATCCATTTTTTAATGTTGTTTTTGTCTAAAAATTAATAAATTAATAATTTATTTTGTTCAATTATAGGAAAACCTCGATATAACGGACTAAAAAGATAAAATCTAACTTGGATTATTAATCAAGTTACTCTATGGACATGGAATAGTTAGTTCTAGTGACTGTGCTAGTGCAAAACTAGAACCAACTCTAGACTTAGCACTAGAATCGTTCGGGTTTAGCCGTCTTGACAGACGTGCGGCTAAACCCAAATGATTCTAGTTCTAAGTCTAGTGTTAGTTCTTGTATTGCACTAGCACTGTCAGTAGAACTAACACTAGACTTAGAACTAGAAACATTCGGATTTAGCCATACGTCTCTTAAGACGGCTAAACCCGAATCTTTCTAGTTCTAAGTCTAGTGTTAGTTCTAGTTTTGCATTACAACTCTCACTAGAACTAACATTAGACCTAGAATTAGAATCATTCGGGTTTAGCCGCACGTCTCTCAAGACGAATCTTTCTAGTTCTAAGTCCAGTGTTAGTTCTAGTTTTGCATTAGAACTGTTACTAGGACTAATACTAGACCTAGAACTAGAATCATTTGGGTTTAGCCGTCTTGAGAGACGTGCGGCTAAACCCAAATGATTCTAGTTTTAAGTCCAGTGCTAGTACTAGTTTTGCATTACAACTCTCACTAGAACTAACACTAGACCTAGAACTAAAATCATTCGGGTTTAGCCGTCTTGAGAGACGTGTGGCTAAACCCGAATGATTCTAGTTCTAGGACTAGTGTTAGTTGTAGTATTGCACTAGTACTGTCCGTAGAACTAACACTAGACTTAGAATTAGAAACATTCGGATTTAACCGTGCGTCTCTTAAGACGGCTAAACGCGAATCTTTCTAGTTCTAAGTCTAGTGTTAGTTCTAGTTTTGCATTACAACTCTCACTAGAACTAACACTAGACCTAGAACTAGAATCATTCGGGTTTAGCCGCATGTCTCTCAAGACGGCTAAACTCGAATGATTCTAGTTCTAGGTCTAGTGTTAGTTGTAGTTTTGCACTAGCACTGTCAGTAGGACTAACACTGGACTTAGAACTAGAAAGGTTCGGGTTTAGCCGCCTTAAGAGACGAAGATTCGGCTAAATCCGAATGTTTCTAGTTCTAAGTCTAGTGTTAGTTCTAGTTTAGCATTAGCTAAACTTCTAGTCTTAAGAGACGTGCGGCTAAACCCAAATGATTCTAGTTTTAAGTCCAGTGCTAGTTCTAGTTTTGCATTACAACTCTCACTAGAACTAACACTAGACCTAGAACTAGAATCATTTGGGTTTAGCCGTCTTGAGAGACGTGCGGCTAAACCCAAATGATTCTAGTTTTAAGTCCAGTGCTAGTTCTAGTTTTGCATTACAACTCTCACTAGAACTAACACTAGACCTAGAACTAGAATCATTCGGGTTTAGCCGTCTTGAGAGACGTGTGGCTAAACCCGAATGATTCTAGTTCCAGGTCTAGTGTTAGTTGTAGTTTTGCACTAGCACTGTCAGTAGAACTAACACTAGACTTACAACTAGAAACATTCGGATTTAGCCGTACGACTCTTAAGACAGCTAAACCCGAATCTTTCTAGTTCTAAGTCCAGTGTTAGTTCTAGTTTTGTATTAGAACTGTTAGTAGGAGTAATGCTTGACCTAGAACTAGAATCATTTGGGTTTAGCCGTCTTGAGAGACGTGCGGCTAAACCCAAATGATTCTAGTTTTAAGTCCAGTGCTAGTTCTAGTTTTGCATTACAACTCTCACTAGAACTAACACTAGACCTAGAACTAGACTCATTCGGGTTTAGCCGTCTTGAGAGACGTGCGGCTAAACCCGAATGATTCTAGTTCTAGGTCTAGTGGTAGTTGTAGTTTTGCACTAGCACTGTCAGTAGAACTAACACTAGACTTAGAACTAGAAACATTCGGATTTAGCCGAATCTTCGTCTCTTAAGGCGGCTAAACCCGAATCTTTCTAGTTCTAAGTCCAGTGTTAGTTCTAATTTAGCATTAGCTAAACTTCTAGTCTTAAGAGACGTGCGGCTAAACCCAAATGATTCTAGTTTTAAGTCCAGTGCTAATTCTAGTTTTGCATAACAAATCTCACTAGAACTAACACTAGACCTAGGACTAGACTCATTCGGGTTTAGCCGTCTTGAGAGACGTGCGGCTAAACCCGAATGATTCTAGTTCTAGGTCTAGTGTTAGTTGTAGTATTGCACTAGCACTGTCCGTTGAACTAACACTAGACTTAGAATTAGAAACATTCGGATTTAGCCGTACGTATTTTAAGACGGCTAAACCCGAATCTTTCTAGTTCTAAGTCCAGTGTTAGTTCTAGTTTTGCATCACAACTCTCACTAGAACTAACACTTGACCTAGAACCAGAATCATTCGGGTTTAGCCGCACGTCTCTCAAGACGGCTAAACCCGAATCTTTCTAGTTCTAAGTCCAGTGTTAGTTCTAGTTTAGCATTAGCTAAACTTCTAGTCTTAAGAGACGTGCGGCTAAACCCAAATAATTCTAGTTCTAGGTCTAGTGTTAGGTCTAGTTTTAATTCAATGAAGAATATAGAAAAAATTAAAAATTTTTCATATAACGGACACACCCTTCTTTGTAGGTATTAATCTTTTATATTGAGGTTTTACCATATATTTTTTTTTTTACTAAAAGTTCTTCGTTTTCATCAGTTAAATGAACGTTATAATTATATCCAGCAAAATTTAAAAGCTTGCATTCTTCAGTTTGGTTCTTTTCATATTCGGTTGAAAGGAAATTTAAGAATTCTTCATCGGTAGAAAATTTGTGTTCGGCGTTATTTGTTACATCGAAAAAAATTGTTAAAATTATAACAAAAAAAAGTGTACTCACAGATTTATTTTGTTTAAACATTTTTACAGTTTAATCATGATTTTTAAGAACAATTGATTTTCTACCTACATTTTTTTTAAGGTTGTATAACTTTTTTTAATGATAATTATATCCATAACAATTCGATAAAAATGAACAAAAATTTTCATTTTTTAATATTAATTAATTTATTAACATTTATTTCCGCCACATTTCGTTCGGAAGATGATTTCGAAACCTTTTTATTGGGCGAGTACGAGAAAAACCAAACGCAGATGTGTTACGATTATAACGTCGCCAATTGGGAGTATAATTTAGATATAAACAATTCAACGAAAGAAGATGTTTATGTAAAATCGATTTTAATTATTAATTATTTCTTAAACTAATTAAAATTGTTTTATAGAATGAACAAAGTTCTAGTTTTACGAAAACATCTAAATTTTTTTATGACAATTACTTTAAAGATCTTCACAAATTAAAGTTAACAAAAGAATTTACAAGAAGACATGCAAACGTTCTTACTAAACTTGCAGATGCTGCTTTAGAAGACGACGAGTACGAAGAAGTAAGTGACTTTTCTTATAAGTATTTTATAATTTGAGTAAATATTTTATATTTGTTATAAATATGCAAACAACTCTGCTTATAACAGTTCGCCAATGTGGTCCGGATGGCAGATACGCATTATTATAGGTCTGATAACAAGTTCTAGCAGGATCAACCTTACTTGGACTTAATCCATTAAGAGACCTTTTCTTCGTTCTGTTCTTAAGAAAAGCAACGTCGTGTGTTTTGAATTTTCCAAGATTAGTACCACGTCTCTATCTCTCGAAGAGCTTGTTAGAGTCTACTCCCAATAGTATATTGATACGTTATCTCTCTCTACAGCTTGTTTTTACATCCACTCTTGGAACGTCGCCCAGATGGCAGATACGCATTATCATAGCTCTGTTAACAACTTCTAGCAGGATCAATCTTACTTGATCTTAATCCATTAAGAGACCTTTTCTTCGTTCTGTTCTTTAGAAAAGCAACGTCGTGTGTTTTGAATTCTCCAAGATTAGTACCACGTCTCTATCTCTCAAAGAGCTTGTTAGAGTCAACTTTCGATAGTATCTAGATACGTTATTTTTCTCTACAGCTTGTTTTTACTTCCACTCTTGGAACAACACCCAGATGGCAGATACGCAGTATCAAAGGTCTGATAACAACTTCTAGCAGGAACAACCTTACTTGGTCTTAATCCATTAAGAGATCTTTTCTTCGTTCTGTTTTTAAGAAAAGCAACGTCGTGTCTTCTGAATTCTCCAAGATTAGTACCACGTCTCTATCTCCAGAAGAGCTTGTTAGAGTCTACTCTCGGTAGTATGTATGTAGGAAGGGGGAGGGTATGCTTCCGCATACAGCACCTAGCCCCCAACGGGCCCTTTGTACATCCTCCTGCACTCTCTCCGGTTACATCAACCTTCCTAAAGAATTTCCGAAGGCTACAGCTCAGAGGTGTGTTCCTGATGCCATCTCTGCTCGGCTATTCCTTTTCGAAGTCTCTCATTCTGAGGTCTTGCAGAGTGGGGCAGACACACAAGATGTGTCGAACCGCTTCCTCGCTCTTTTCACAGAGGTGGCAGAGAGGACTAACAGCAAGCTTAAGGTTATAAAGATGCTTGTTTACCTTACAGTGACCCGTGATGAGTCCCGCTACAGTTCAAGGCTGCCTCTGCTGAGGGATAACTTAATACTTCCTTAGACAGATGGCAGCCTTTAACTCTATCCCACCAGTTCATAAACTTTTTGTGGGTAAAATCTTTAATTATCTCAATTTGAGTTGATAAGGACGGAGCGATTATCGGTTCAGGCGAACATGGCGCTCGCTTGGCAGCCCTTTTGGCAAGCGTGCCTGTTACCTGAACAAGTAGAGTGTCCTTTTGTCCATTGAAGTATAACAGAGTTATGCACTGCGGCCTTCTCCAATGTCAGATGACAATCTACTGTCAGTGTAAATTGTAAAAGTCTTACCTACAAAGTTGGATCTGACAATTACGTCAGTGGCAAGTTGTATGGCGATTAACTCCGCCTGTATGACGGTGGTACTTTTACTTAGAGGTTCAGATACGTGGAGTCGTA